TACGTTGTGACGCTGCTGCTGCGCTTCGCGACTAATTTGTTCGTTGATTCACTCTCGGCGCGTAATAAGAATCGAATTTCCCTTTCTCTCTCTCTCTCTCTCTCTCTCTCTCTCCGTCCCTGAGAGCACAGCAGCTAACAGCAACAGAGATGCTTGTCGCGCGATTTAGCCCTGTCGAGCGCTAAATAATTAATATCAGCGTGCATGTGTGTGTGTGTGTGTGTGTGTGTTTACGTGCAAACGACTCGTTAGTCCAGCTTCGTTTCTTTCATACCGAACGCACGCGTTTTACATAATTCGCTCTTTATAACGAATCGATAAGTGCGTGCACTGGGTCGCGCGCGCACGAGGATATTATAACGCGACCACGTGAGCGAGAGCTTGCAAGCTCGCCCCTCGAACGTATAATGCCTATCGTACGTAACTTGTATATACGACGAGTGGCATTGATTTTTCGATCGTCGCGTCGCGCGCCAATCAAGCCTTGCACAAAATTTTCTCGTACTCTCTCTCTCTCTCTCTCTCTCTCTCTCTCGGTTGGGGAGACGTTTGTCGCGGCGGAAAAATGAGACGCTGCGGGATCGCGTCGTCCACCGCGCGCAGCCACTACACCACCGCAGCGCAACCTTTGAACAAAGAAGGATTATAAATTCTCATAAGCTCGAGCAGCAGCAGCAGAGAGCTTGCAGCAACAGCGTCGCTAGAAAACAAGTTGTTATTGTTGGCGTGTCTACTCGAGGAAAGAGTAAGAGAGAGCAATTTTTCTCACTCGCGCTACGCTTGCGTAAGAAATTCGCTGCTGCCTGCGAAACAAAGAAGGAGAGAAGCTTGCGCTCGAGTAAAGCGAGTGCAGAAAAGCTACAGGGCAAAAGAGCGAGAGAGAGAGAGATCACGAGGCAAGGAGCTATATAGCTAGAGCGTTGGGAAAAAAAGAGAAGAGAGAGAAGCGCTCCAGCGGAGCACTTAATTTCTATGGCAGTTTACTAATGGCCTACAAACGCCATTTGAGGCTAGTAGTAGACTCGACTTGCTCGCCGTTAGCTCCTGTAATTGCACCGATGGTCTTCCCTTGTACTAGCGCGCGGCATTTATATTATTATGCCTCTAGCTCGAAGCAGCAATCGTGTATATACGCCTCGACAGCTGCCCCCGCCGCCGATATAATAATAAGCTCGCTCGCGTGCGCTGCCAACCCGCCTATATAATTGATATCGGAGAGTTGTCGACTCGTTTGTTTTCACTTTGTGTTCGTCGCGTTTCAACACCTGCGTAGAATGTTCCGAACTCCATTTACCCGCGTGACACGCGATTACGTATCGTAATATGTATACGCGAAAAATTGAACTAGGATGGATTTTTGGCGGCGTTGCCTTGGGGAGAGAGAGAGAGAGAGAGAGAGCTTGCAGCTCGCGAGGATATCGATCGACGAAGCACGGATTAGAATATCGAACGGATGATAACAGTTGTTATTAATATTTTTCTATGTCGTTCGTTACAAACGCGAGATACGGTACTTTTCTCTATCTATGTATTAGCAGCTAAGAGAAAAGAAAAATGAAGCGACGAGTACTTTATATATATAATACGGGACAAAAAGGCGCGTCTCTTACGTGCGATGCACTGCGGCAACTGCTATTTTCTTGGTATATATAAAATGCCCTTGTCTATGTATGTACGTGCGAGGCGAGGCGCTAAATCCAAAGCAAAAGCCGCTTCTTCTTCTTCTTCTCCAACGACTCAAGCTATTTTCTCTTTGACATTCCATTTACAGCGTAAAAATATGACAGAACGAGAGAGAGAGAGAAAGGAAAAGTTTATCAGCAATCCAAAGCAGCTTACACGTTTTTCTCTTTGCGGTATGGTAAAAATTCTTGAATCCAAGCAGCGTAGTCGCGCATTCGTGATGTTATTTACGCCGAGCGAGAGTCAAGTTGTACTCGTTCGCCCACCATTTTTACCGGAGTAAAGAGAAAAAAAAAATTGAAATTAATCCAAACGGATCTTTCGACAATTTTATTACGTCGCTGCGAGATACATCGAGAGAGAGGCGAAAAAAGCTTCAAAAGTCCCTGACGATGCGACGACGAATACGAATCCACGCGTATGGCCTCGAGTACCAGCAGTTTTCGTGAAACTTTTTACGCGCAGTGCTCGAGTTTCAAAAAAGAAAAGAAAAAAAAATCGAATGAGATTCGTATGTGAAAAGTATGCAAGGCACATCGAGATAAATATACTACAACACACACACACACACACTGCTTAAGGATGTAATGCGTGCAAGCTGTACCTGCAAGCTCTGCAAGTGCTTTAAAATACAGAAAACGGTGGTGCCCGTGTATCATCGGGGCATCGTTCACTTTCACACGTGATCCGGTGACACACTTTTTTCCCAAATTTTCATGGAAACGCACTCGGAGCCCGAAGCACTTTTGCACCCTGCCAAAAACGGAACTGCCACACTTTTGCATTATTATAGCGGAAGAGAGAGAGAGAGAGAGAGAGAGAGAAATCGGCACTTTAACGAGTAGCCATTATCTCTCTCTCTCTCTTCCTTTTGCTTTCGCACACTGGAGAACATATCATGATAATATAATAACTGCCCAGCCGAGCAGAGGCACTCGACTCGTGGACACCGATTGATCTAACCGAGGCGAACGCGTGAATCGGTACTGCCCGATGTAATATAACGATTCTGGCATCTCGCGAGTGGGCAAATTAACAATAAAGATGTGTGACGAGGCTCGTCTCTCTTTTTCTCATTGAAATTTTGCCATAAAATATCTACCATTATTATCGAGGCGCGCGCGCTCGCGCGCTTGAGTTGTAAAGAAACTACGCGCACTACGACGACGACGACGACGAGGAGGACGGCTCCTGCCGCACCGCCACTCCGACTTGTACTCCGGAGCAGCAGCAGCATCGGTGGGTGCTCGTCGCTGGCAGTGCCACCGTTCGTTCGTTCGCACGTTCCATCTCAATTTCGCTGACTCTCTCTCTCTCACTCCCACCCACCCTCGCTCGCTCTCTCTCTAGCTCTAGCTCTAGCGAGCCGACTTTTGCAAACTTTAGCCACGCTTCTCTCTCTCTCTCTCGCTTGCTCTCGTCGTCGAGCGTCGAGCGTCGGAGCTTGCGCGTTTTGTCCTCGCAGCTCGTAGCAGCTTCTCTACGCTATATATAATAATACATACATACGGGCTAGCTGTCGAGGCACGTTTTCCTATACGTATATAAAATATATACCATGGGCATGGATGTGTACGGCTGCCTGTGTATAGTCGAGCAATTATTATTACGCGACATCGAGAGCGAGCGCACGCAACGAACTCCCCCCTCCACCCTTACCAGTTATCAGCAACTAGTTACGTTCGCGACTATAAGGGATTATGCATACCTATAGAGAGAGAGATTCGGCCAAGGCTGCGGATCGAGCGAGATCGGTGTGCCCACGTAATAATCGTATACATATAAATTGGGGCCGTGAGTCGAGACGACGATTTTTCAAAATTAATACCTCCTCGTCGTTTTTTTTGTTTTGTTTTTTTTTTTGTATACGCGATACATAAAAAACGACTCACAAACGCTTTATTAAAGGCCCCGGTGAAGCTCGCCTATTATTATATTTCCTAGCTCTCTCTTCTCTCTCTCTTGCTTCATTTCCCGACCGCCGCCGCACCGCCGCACACTGTCACCGCATCGATCTTTCCGTCTCGTTTACTTCCCTCTGTATATATTCTATATCTATATACAAAGGATACCGTCTCTCTCACTCTCTTACTCTCTCTCTCTCTCTGCCAGTAATATAAAATCGAGTTTTCCACCCTTCACGCAGCTGTTATATACGCGCGCGACGGCAGCCGTTTTTCGAACGACTTTCACTCGATTTTCCTAATGCACTCGTTGCAGTGCGGCACACCGTGTGGGTATATATACCGCTTTAATAATTATCACATTTAAATATTTACTCGAAATTTGTAGTATCGTCTTTTTTCGTTGGAAAAAACAAAATTGACTATTTTAAAAAGCTACTCGAGATGGATTTATCCTCGGATTTTTAACTGCTCTCAAAAACCGATCTCTTTCTTATAAATGAATGTATAAAAAATTCTGTGACATTGAGGCATTGGCATTAATTTTTTTTATCCAGCGCGCGTGCACACAATAAGAGGGCTTATAACGAAAGTGAAGGGATTGTCCTGAAAAAAACTCCACGCAGGGTCGAGATCTTCGAGGTCAACAGTCACCTTCCGAATCGTATCTGTGCCTTCGATGATCGATAAATATTCAGCTCGAGCTTAGATGCTTGTCTCGTTCAAAGAGAGAAAGAGAGAGAGAGAGAGAACAATGCATTTGCTTGCCCTGTATTTTGTAGTAAGCTACAAAGTGACTGATGAGTTGGGTACGCGAGTATTTACATTTAGTTTTTGAATTTCTGTTTCCTTATCTGTATTGATCGCGATTTTAACAAATTCGAAAAATACCAAAAACATTCAAATTTATTATACCTGTAATGGCACTCTTCACTGAACGATTTGGATTTTAATGTATTTTATGAATTCATGTATAAAAATAATTAAAAATGTTCTTTGATCGAAATAATAAATGTTTTTCTAGTTTTTGAGAATCCCTTGACAGTTTCGGGATCAAAAATATAGAGAGATGCCACCAATAATTCCATGCTATAAAATTCATTCATAGTTGAATGGTCAAATAATATTCAATATATCGTAGGCTGAATAAATGCCGGTTTTACCATTTGTTCCGATTTTTTTGAAATGTTCGTAAAAGGTAATTGTGAATATATTAAAACTTTAATTAAAGTCAGCTTTAGTTATTCAACAAATCAAAGAAATGTTTTGAAAAAAGTTCATTTTAACTTGACACTTTTAAGCGCGTTTCAAAATGTTCGTCTGCTGATAATGAACGGCACAACCGCGAGCCGCATCACAGCAGACACCCATAAGTTGTGCGAGCGGCCTCGTAAGTATTTTGCTGTGTCGGTACTCCGCACGAGTTTGTAATCTGTTCTGTAGGTAACTCCGAATGGGGCACCGCATCGCGAGTTGTCGTGTTATTTGTGTCTATATAAGTTTTTGATAGTTGGATTAATTGACAATTTCATTGAGATTTTCACGAAAATAGTTCAATTATTTTAAGGTTAGATTTAAATTACAAATTTTACGATACATTTTGAGTGGACATGAAACAGTTTGTCAATGAATAGTGCTTTTCTAAACAGTATAATTTTTCTCGTCTAGGTTATCATAATGGCCAATTTATCCAGTTTTGTCAAGTCCACCTTGAAAGCTTGGGTGCCACAGATCACTACAGTTCGTTTCAGATATTTTGCGGATAAAAAGAGATGTGTCAGAGCTTATGGTTATAAGGAGCACATAGATCAAAGAGGACTCTTGGCTCACACCGATGATGCCAAACCAATTATCCAGATGCCAATTTATCGTCCGGTTGATTCTTGGTCAAAGAAAAAAGCAATGTTTGGTCAGAATGATTACATTGACATTTGGACCAATGGTCGAATCAAATTGACAACTGTTATGTACAAAACTCCTATGTGGTTGAAAGGTATCAAGCGCGATGATCAAGAATATAGAATGTTGCTACGAAGAAGGCAAATGCTTCAATCCGGTATTTATCCAATTGCAAGGCCTACCAAGTGGAAAGATATGAATAAACGAATAATGTACTTGTACAAGTTCCTTAATCGAAAAACAAAAACAGGCATTTCTTACAAATGATTCTGTAGATATATATTGTTAATTGTTTTACTTGTATATATTTAAATACAACAACTGATTAGATATAATAAATCCTCTTTCACTGGTAATTTTTTTTCTTTTATTAATCATTTTGGAAGGTGGGTTGTAGTAAAATGACGTTATTTTTTATTTCATAAAATAGTTAATTTATTAATAGTGAATCATGTAATTATCAACCTGCTTCAAACACATAAATCAACAAAGAAATTGCAAATATATTTGCTCTTCCTACCAAAAATACATGTTTAATAACTGACAGAACTGTAAAATTATAAAAATTACAAGAATGCACAGATGATCAAAATAATCTTATATGAATGTATTATAGTTGATATAAGATTATATGTGACCGTATTGCAAAATAAATACAATTTTAGCTATACATGACTATTATATTTATAATTGATACTTAAAATTTATAAATTTATAAATATATAAATTTATAAGTTATAAATGTATTTATAAATTATTTTATAAAATTGCTACTTTCATTTATGTAATATACAGAAATAACTGTGAGTATTGCCCATCGCTTATAATTTAGATAGTTTTTAAAAAAATCAAATGAATTCATTTGCATTAATCATATCTTGAACAAAATTCACAAAACAAATTAAATATTTCATCAACTATTACACATTATCAGTATTAACGATAAAATTTACAAGTATATACATTATTTAAAAGTTCAAAATTACTTGTAAAAATTTCAAAACAACTGAAGATGATTGAAAGCTTTGTAAATTTACAGTAGCAAACATAAATCTTCGTTTAAGTTTGTAATACTGTTAGTCTTTTTAAAAATCTCGTCTTTGCTTACAAGTCACTCTAAATTGTATCTTTTTAAGACAGCAGTAACAATTAAGAAAAAAAATCATAAAAGTTGAATGCTTGTACATTCATATACTATATACATGTATAAAACCGGCAGTTGGTAGCTTAGGCTTGCAACTTTGTTATCATCTTCATTTTAACAATTATACTTATTTGTGCTCTTTTCATTGATTCAATATAAAGCTAGTTTCATTTGTTAACAGATTTACAAATTATTTTGTAAAAACGACAATAGCGTCGTTTCATAATGTTTGCTTGCATCCAAACTTCGAAGACTGTGTCTTTCATTAGGATAAATTTGTAGTTGATATGGTTTTCCCATTTTCACTAATGCGTTAATCAGCTGACTTGTATGATAAAAGTGAACATTTTCGTCGATTAGACCGTGAATTATGAGTAACCGATTTTCTTCATCGGGGAATTTGTTTACGTAATTTAAAATGTCGCCCGCCATGTAGCCACTCACATTGGATTGAGGTAGATCCATGTATCGTTCAGTGTAGCCTGTATCATAGTAGTACCATGAAGATACTGGAGCTCCAGCAATTGAAACCTGATGAAAGTATCAATTTAATTCATGGAAATAGATCCAAAAATATTTGTAAACTTCCGATTTTACCTTGAAAACATCAGGATATTGGATCAGACCCATTAAACTCAAGTATCCACCATATGACCACCCATGAATAGCAACCCTATTCATATCAATACAACCAGTTGTATTAGCAAGCCATCTAAGTACTTCAACTTGGTCATCAAGTTCTACAGTTCCCATTTTGCCTTGTATATAACTTTCGAAAATTAGGCCTCTATGATGCGAACCACGAGAATCAATCAGCACTACGCAGTACCCTTGGGCTGCTAACATGTGCATCCTTAAATTTCTCATCCCCTGCGAAAGTCAATGATAAAAAGTAAGCGGATAAAGTGGAGAAAAGTACTACAGATGTACATAATTTTAACAAACCTTGAAAGTGTTTGATACTAGTTGTACCTCAGGACCACCATAAACATTCAAAACTGTGGGATATTTTACTCCAGGTTGGTAATTGTGTGGTTTAAAAATCATTGAATATATTACATCTCCTGAAGAAATTTTGTAGCTAAATAATTCTGGGATAAAAACATTTGATTCTGGTGCGGATGGTTCAAGTAAAAATCCGACAGGAGTTAAAGAAATATTTTCCACAGTCCAGTCAGAATGAGATATTCTGAAAACCTGTAAAGTAAAATAATTTTTATTAAAGCTGAAACTGTCAATCAGCACGATAACGCACTACCGATTTTGTGTGTATTAATATGAATACATTTAATACGTAAATTGTAACTAATACTTTTTTTTATGAAACAAAAAATTAATTAATTTAAAACATTAATTTATGTTTTAGAACGCACCTGACAAGCAGGCAAAGAATTTATACAACTATAAACAGCGACCATCATTGTACATTCCTGATTGAAATATACATTAGTATAACTGTAACCAGGCCTTGTAAGTAATCGTATCTCTAAAGGACGTTGCAAAGAAACAGCATATACATGCTGTTCTAAGGGACCTTCCCTCATACCAACAAAGTATACAATACAATTAGCTTCGTCAACCCATATTTCTTTTCCAAGAACTTCCCAATTACCACTAGTTAAGGCAATTTTTGATAGTATTCTTGGTTGCAAAAATAGACAATCCATTTTTTCAGTTGTATCTTCAATGCCATTTCCAATTCCTGTTAATTTTGATATAAAAAACCATAAACATTATTTCATCAAATATAAGATTCTAGTGTATTTCACATACCGCCTATACCTGCTGTTACAAGATACAGATGTCTATAATTAGTTTCTTCACTGCCCCAAATGAATTTAACCTCTGCAGGATCACGAGATGGTAAAAAGTACAATAAATCATTAACATTCACCCACACATTATTTTTTTGTGAATATATTACTTGAATGCTGCCTGATAATGGTGAAAACCTATTTTCAGAAAGATATACATTTGGTGGAGTCTCACAAAAATTATCTACCAAAATTAATACAAGATCAAGTCTTTGCTGTTTTCTGTCAAGTAATTGGACCCAAACACTGAAATCATAACAAACATTCAAATGATTTAACTCTATCGACAGAGTTCATCAATGCTTGCAACGAGTAATCTTACTGTTTTCCATCTTTTGTCCAACCAGCTCTAACCATATATTCCATCCAAGAAAACATAATGTGTAATGGGTACTGAAGTTCAAGAGTTTCAATGTCAGTGATTTGATAAGTGTCAGTAACTTTGAATTGGACCATTTTTAAATTACTTCTAGCATTATTTGTGCCAGCTCGTGGAAATCTAAATTCATCGGCTTCTTGGGAAGTGTCAGAAGAAGGAAAACAAAATATTTTGACATCGCTTTCGTCTACTTCTTCATAAAGTATTCTATAAATTCCATCTGGTGAAACTGGCTGCCACCAATAACCAATATATCTGCAAGTTAGAGCAAATGAATTAATGAAAAAACTCCTTCAACTAATGCACATGTTAAATGATGTACCTCGTAAACTCTTCTTGCATTACATAAGATGGTGTACCGGCACTTAAGGGATCTTCAGCCAAACTTTTACCTCCTTTTTTGGCATATGTTAATCGGGCAGATGAACCCGTTATACTGTGGGATACATGAATATCACCGGCACAAGTATATGCGACTAAAGCATTGTTCCATGGACAAATTTGTGGACATAATTTGGCACCTGAAGTAGACATCCTCAATTCTGAAGGAAATAACGGTCCTGGCTAAAAGAAACAGAATTAAATACAAATATTTTTACAGGTGTTCAAATGATACTGAATAAATATTTTTACCATAAAACCAGTATCTATGCATTGATAAAGACTACTGGCTGCTGGAAATACTAATTTCCCACCCTCAGGATGTATTTCGTAACTGGTTATACCACCGGTTGCTAATCTTTTTCGTTCCCATAATAATTGTTCTTCTTTTGATAATTGATTGGCACTTGACATACTACAAGAAAATGTTTCTATTTAGCCAAGCTTCGAATGTTACATCGTTGACAATAGTGCAAAATAATTTGTCGATAAGAAAAAAAAAAATAAAAAAAAGGCTCAAACATTGGCAAATAATTTATCAACCATTGGAAGTTGTTTTCAAGAACGGGCTGCCATTGCAATCGATAGCCATTTGCATGATCCGAGTGGGCCACATCCGCATACAATAATGTTCTTTCCCAAGCGTTGCTAGGTGTGCTCAAGAAGTATATTCTTATCCTAAAAATATACAAAAAAATTGTACAAAAATGTCAAGCTCAAAATAAACCTTCGAAAGTCAGCTGACCAGAGTACGAATGGGACATTTGCTTATACCATAGGAGAGCTGCTTCGTCAAGTGCAAAAAGAGACAATTGTCAAAATTACCTGCCATCAGGCAGCGACCTGAAGTTGATCGAGCCAGGCACGGAGCCGGACGATAGGCTGGACACTTTGCGGCGCAGATCACTCACGGCGGCTCGCAGCTCGTTCCAGGTCTTCTTGCCGCCACCGTCGGCACTGTTCGCGGTCGTCGACGTCGTCGTCGTCGTGGATGAAGACGACGTCGGGCCGCCGGGCGCGAAGCAGGTCGTCGCATTGTTGACACGATCATTGTGATCGTCGCCGCCGATGACGAACTCGCAGCTAGCAGCAGCGGTCGCGAAGCAATTGGCGAATTCGGAGTTGCTGCCGCTGTTCTGCGGTGCTGCTGCTGCTGCTGCTGCTGCTGGTTGTGGTTGTTGTTGTTGTTGTTGTTGAATGAACGACGGCTGCAGTTGATGATGAAGATGATTGAGCTGATGGTGGTGATGATTGTGATGATGATTGTTGTGATCGGCGAGCAGAATGTCGCCAACCGCCAGGCCGCCGGTGTCGAGCACAGTATCAGCGCTGCTGTCCATCCTCGATTATATCACGTATATATCTCCTTGTCAGTCGGATGATTTATTTACAAAATAATAATAAAGAAGACGTCGAGGGCCTCCGAGGGAGAACGATAATGGATAAATTATTTTTGTGTCAGCTCTGCCAGGCTCACTGCCGATTGGTCGGCTCGTCGTCGTGTTGCTGCTGCTGTTGCCTCGCTGCGTCGAGCTGCTCGTCGCACCTGGACGGCATGTTATATTTTCTCATTCGCTCTCTCTTTCTCTCTCTCTCTCTCAACTCTTTTGGCACAAGCCCATTCAGAGCCAACACCAGCGCAGAGTAATAGCAGCAGCAGCGGTAGCAGCGTTTCGGAGCAGTTCGGCTCGTTCGATGGCTCTACACGTACGATAATCGCAAATATATTACATATGTTGTGTCGTCGTCGTCGTCGTTGTCTCTCGAGTCATGTGTGTGTGTGTGTATATATATAACGACCAACACACGTCTACTACACAGCGATAGATATGTACATACGAGCAAAGTGTGCGTAATAGGCACAGTCCGTATTATTCCGTTACGTATTATATGGGCAAAAACGGCGAGTCGTCGTCGCCGCTGCTACTACTGCTGCTGCTTCACCTACTGCTCTGTCTGTCTGTGTATCTGTATATGTGCTGCGAAGACCACCCCCGCCCCCCCGCGCGCACGAACTTTTATTTTTAGGTTAGAAACCGATTATAATAGAATTGCGCGAGCACACCAGTGACCAGACGAGAGAGCCGCCGCGGGCGCTTCGGATACGAAAGATTCGCGCGTGACGCGATGACGCCCGAGCCGCGAAAAGATTTCGCGATGTGTCTCGATAATAATTTCTCTGCTACCGCCTGCTGCTAGAGCCACTTTAAAACTACAAACGTGAATACCGTGTTAAATCAGCGCATTATTATTTCTCATTATCTTGCAGCGGCGGAGCTAACAGTATTATAAAACGCAGTAGCGCACGACGCACGTATTTAAAGCTCACTTATCTGTGCCCGTGTCTGTGTATAGGTGTGCGATGTTTACATACATGTATATTGTAAAATATGAAATTCACCATGTGTCTCTCTCTCTCCGCTCGTGTTGATAAATAAAGGCAGGCACGACGACGTCGAGACTCTTTAATAATAATGCTCTTGATCACACGAGGCGCGCACACGAGAGCTTAACTATACCACTACTACTACTGGCCGATGAACTTTGCAGGATTCGACGTTTCTCTCTTTATATTATTATACGCTCGGTTGCCGTTTGCTCCTACCTTTTTTTGCTGCTCTCTCTCTCTCTCTCTCTCTCTCTCGAAAGAAGAAGTCGAGCCCCTTCCTCCTCTCTTGGCTGTGTGTCGTATAGTGGCGTAGTAATATTCGCGCGGCTCTCTCGGCTTCTCCTCCGATATACGTCTTTCCATATACATATACGTGAAAATACACGTAGATATATATTTTATATATAATACCATTTACATATCTCCGGCGTATCGTATATACGCATTGTGTAAGATATATGTATATCACTATGTAGCCGCGATAAAGTATAAAACGAAACGGCGCGGAATATTTACGCGCGAGCAGCAGACGATCGGTCGTCGTCGGCGCGACACTCTATTATAATATTAGCGTAACGTTACTTTTTTTTTCGGGTCCCGCTGCTTTTTTAAACGGGTTTGAATAATTCCACGCATAGCGCTGCGCCGAGCCGCCGCAGAGATTAGCATTTTCGAAAGGTGTGTAGTAGTAGTAGTAGAGAGGATAAAAAAACTCATTAGCGAGTTTCGACGTGCTTTGCTTTGCATCGCGGCCGTTTTTTTTCTCGCTCGTCTACTACTACTACTACTACTACTACGACTCCGCAGTAGCAGACGGATAGTAGTGAATTAATCGGAGGGGATATGTACGTATGTGTATGTATAGCAGCGCAAACGTCAACATTGCCCGAGCCGAGAGTTGATTGACCGCTCGCCGGAGAGAAAATGTAATGCGTCTCTACTATACACGTATCTATATCGATATATATATATGCGTGTGTGTGTATATAGTCGATAAAAAACAAAAGACGCGCGCAGGCGCTCATAGCCGCCGCCGATCTGCCGCTGATGTAATAATAAACCGAAAAAAAACAACGCGATCGCACACACACACACACGCAGTCGTTGGAGAACGAGGAAAAATCGGTTGGAGATATACATTTCCTGTCCTGCGAATCTGTGGGAATCGTTTTGAAAAATGCCCTGCAAAGAGGCAAGCCACATGGACCCGAAAGTGCCGCCGAGCTGCTGGGGACCCAATCACAGGGGCATGGATCTCGCCTTCGGCTGGGTCGGGACGCTATTCAATCTTAAGAAATTTAGGAAGCACTACGAGGTTAGCCCCCCCGATCTACTACCGATCATCGAACTTTGCGATATTTTCGCAGACACAATGGAAGTTCGAAAACTTTTGTCAATCTTGAATGTTTCAACGCGTCTCTCTTTCTCTCGTTTTTTTTTCTTTTTATTTGCGCGTGGAAAATGTGTCCTCGTCGTCTTCGTCGGCTTTGCGTGCCCCGAGCCCGTCTCGAGCGAACTACTATCAACTACTCTCTTCTTTCATTCATAAGCGACTATGATGCTTCGCGTCGGTTTTTTTTATTCATGTATGAGGAGAAAGGCAGGACTCGCGTATGTGTAATATAAAACTTTATTCGTCCCTATAGGAAAACGACGATCTCTCTTTTATTTCAAATTCCCATTAGGAGATTGGATATACGACGATAGTTTTCGTATGTGTGTGCATTTGTGTGTGCGGAGGTATCCTTGCACTCGGCGCACGGTTCATCTTGACACAGAAAATCGTGCGCGTTAATGAGGTATAATGACGCATTATTAAATATATATATAGGTGAACGTCTAACACAACTATCGCATTAAACTTGGAATTGATGGTTTTTTTTTCATAATTTTTTTTATTCAAACTCTGGATTGTATAAAAATATAATAATAATGTATATAAAGTATATCATGATGTATCACAGTTATTTACATTTCGAATTAGGTCGGAAAGTCTCTCTCTTATATAAATTCTCGATGTGTGCTATACTTTCGCTTCGTTTTTTTTTGTCATCGCGTTTCTTTCGTCAATCTTTATTGTTGTTATTTATTTTTTTTTATTTTTTTTTTAATCTCTCAAAAATTGTTAACAAACTTTACTCTATTACTATCTCGTTCAATTATTTTCTTTAAAAAATTGTTGTAAATCTACTTGAAGTGGATACACTGAAAAAATTTTACTTTGACTATGAGTTAAGGGCATCAACTGTATATAGTAACACTCATCATAAAGATATCAAAGAAAAAAAGGAGAAAAAAAACTATTGTTAACTACTGATATTGTATTATTATGATTCATCTAAAAGGCACTTTAATACACATGAGTTCTAACGAAAAAAATATATATAGATAGATAACTCCAATATTTCGAAAATGTATTCTAAATTAAGTATTCCAAGGTGAAAATTATTAATTAGAAAAAAAACCTACTAAAGACTAGATTAAACTTTCAATTATTCAACGATCGCATGAATCTCTTACGCATTTATTATTGAGAAAAATGCAGTTTATGTATATATACGCGCGATGGCCACTGTTGGTGATATGTAAATACGTACCTTGTTTACTTCTTTTTTTTGCGTGGTGAGAAGCAGCTAAAGCGCAGTCAAACACTATATGTACATAATATAGAAGGATGCCGGTATTATAGTAGAAGGAAAGTAATCGTGCAATGAAACATCTCTCAAAATTATAAAATAGTAGTAGATGTTATGTAATGACCAAACACAACGATAATATAATATTCGACGCAAGTCTGTTTTTTTTTTTTTAAATTAAAAATTTAATGTGTCAAAAAAAGAAAACAACTCGAAATAATAATTTTCATATTTACAGAGATATTGTTAATAAGTAATGTATGCTGAAATTCTACTAGAAAATCATAAGTAAAGACGAATCCATTAAATAATTGATTATGCCTACTATATTATGTACCGAGGCAAAGTCAGTGAACCTTAATAGACACTTATTTCTTTTATAAATAAGTAATTATAATCTAATTTTTGGTATGTTCAAGGACTATAATATAATTCTACGTTGTCATAATCATTATTTTATTCAACAAGGTATTATCGGTAATCTAGGCAGAGTTATATACCACACAAATTCATTAAAATTATATACTGTTTTCTGAATGATTAACCACAGGAGTAAAAATGACGGGGGAGAAAAGGTTGTTAATGCTTTATATTTGTATATCCAATAATAATTACTTCTATTATTGTTTCTCTTCTCTTGGTAAGAATATGTGTGAGTGAGATGGGTTTCAGGTAAGCACTATGGATAGAGTGTTATAATGAAGAATAAAATACTTATATACATATATGAATACTATGTTGATAATTGATCCATTAGTTTTCTATTTTATTCAATCTGTTTTGTTCTTAGGTATTTTTAAGATTATCCATAACGACTAAACTATATAGATTTGAGAAATTAATCAATTTTTTTTGCTTACATATTAAGGCGCTCGTTGTATGACACTGACAATTTGTCGTATTTATTACTCAATTGCAACGCACACACTTATACACGGCATGTGCTCACACGTATTCGAAGTGAAATCCGAGGATTTTTTTTTGTATTATATTTCTATATGCGAACGAAACAATTAGTAAAAGTTTTTGATTACTGTACTTTGTTCGAAAATACTGAAAGTTGCACTTTTTTTTGTCAATATTGCTGTGATCTTTTTTACGTATTTACTACCTCTTTGTTTGCGGTAACTCAAGTGGGGAAGATATTTATCTTTAACAAAGAAGCTTTCGTTTCTGCAATCGGCTCGATGGATCTTAGCTTCGAGAATTTCTATTTACGTTAAATTTTTTTCTGTATAAAAAGACACGAGTGGATCATTTTTGGTTGAAGATTGACGTCTCCTTTGAACTACTTTTTAAAGAGCCTAAACGGCGACGCGCTAACTCGTCGTCTATTACAACTTTTATAGATCAGATTATCTCTTGTATAGATACTTATATTCGAATGTATGCATCAATCTCGACTTTTCATTCTGAGTCATACAACTATATATTGTTTCTTTCTTAAATTGATATGTCATGTAGTTTACACCATGATAATCAAACGACAACTAACGAACTTTATCACACCTGTTTACACATTTCGTCCTGTTTATTTTTTTCATTTGAAAAAATCGTTGTCGACGCTAATCCCTTCCTTTTGTCGAATGATCTATGATCATCGAATGAATCAAACGCATCCATGTGATATACCTCGAGTTATTATTTTTCAAGTTATCATGTAATTAATACACTACAGCTTCATTTTTGTTTTCTTTTTTTTTTGTTTTAATTCCATCAAAGGAAGGTTCAATAATTCTGTATACGCATGCAATATTTTAATGAAAAAAACAACATTTTGCGTGCGTAGCCGTCGTTCTAGTCGTCGTCATTTGGAATGAGATTGAAAAAATATACATGTATGAATACGTTATCGATTTTAAACGTATATAATATATATATCGCATATGTAATATTTATTTATATATATTTTTTTCTTGTATTTATATTCATGTATAATCGTAGTATTATAATAATATTATATACAATGTGAACATTATAGTCTTAGATGATTATTTTTTATTTTGTATTTCCATGTCTTTTTTTTTATTAAAAAAACGTACGAAGATCGATCAAGTATTATTATATTATTTATAAACGCGATATTATCACATTTTTAGTGCATTCGCATACAATGCAAAATTTCGTTCATTCATAATTCTGTATTCCGCAAAGATTTTCGTACGTTTTACAAAATACACACGATACATGACTCGCCAGCTTCAAGCTGCGCATTGGTGTCAGGCTCAATTGAAATTGTCTTCTTACACATTTTCGAATGAAAAATCAAACGAGAGTTAAAAATATTTTTGCTCTTGGAGCAAAAATAATTGATACACGTGTAATTCATCATCTCTTATAATTAATAGCGAACGACGCTTATAACTCACTTATGAACTAGTATATTTCACTTGCATTTAAAATCCATTGATGGAAGCGACAGTTTCGCTTTCTGACTAGAATCGTCTTGTAAGTTTTTGATTAACTCTGCGATTTTTTTTTTCCAAGTTTTACGAAAATGCTTTCGGTTCACATTTTATTTTTCGCGTTCTCCGTGGTGCCAAGCAGGGAAAGTTCAAAGCAGAGAAACAAAAAAAAATGTTTGATTAGAATAAGCTGAGATTAAGAGCCATTAGTTTGAGATTAAACGCTTGTTGTTTGCGGATCAAGGGGCACTCCGCTCTGGCGTGTCCCGCCTGTGCGCCCGGTAAGACAGAAAAACTGTCTCTCGGCACATACAAAGATTTCCACGAGCCACGCAAAAATTTCCATTAACTTTTCTTGATTACTTTTCGCGTCAAACATTTTTTTCTCTCGTCTCTTTTGAAATTCACATGCACGCACGAACAATATTAAGCGATATGTATTTTTAGTACTAATTATACCCAAGAGTTGAAGACTATTGTGAGGGACATTCCGACTAGACTCGTTTCTATGAGGAATTTTTATGACTTAACTATTTTCTACAAAACCGAGAAAAGAGACCTTAATTTAAAATATCCGGAGATTTTCTATTGTTTTCAATGAAATCGAAGATTTACTTTCCAACACTGCGTTTCACACAAGCAACAATCAATGAAAGTATTCAGTACGTTTATTGTCATAGTCGAAGGCGCGAGCTATTTTTATATTTTCATTGTATATATTTGACAACATGCAGTCGCATTGTATTTATAAAAAAAAACTCGATCATCGTCAATAATTGATTCGGAAAAAATTTTATCCACGAATTTTCGTTTCAAAAATTAAAATTAGAGTGAAATAATGCATCACAACCACGATTATAATTAAATAAATATATCTTTCGCATTTTCGCACACATCTACACCCTCGCACTCGAGTATTACACTAAAAAAGTCATTCATCTTGAATGTACGAGATCCCTCTTCTCGGTATAATTATGTATTATTTTTCTATATATGTATACTACACTTGTCTGACATAAATCGTATTTTTCTACTTGCCAGACGCTTACGCCGCATTATTTTTTTTTCTCTTATTCTTTGACACATAACATTCATCATCGTCACAGTATTATAGTAAAAGTAATATTTTGAATAATATTACAACGATATCATAATTAACATTAAACATTATTGCTTGTAGTATTATCATTAATGTAAAATTGCCATCTTATGTACTAGTGTCACAAACCCGCATAATTTGTTGTTTTATGTTTATAGACTTTTTTCGTAAATCGCAAGTGAGATTTCATATTGATTTATACGTCTCTAAATAAGTTTCTTTGGAAGAACATGATGCCATTATCATTGTTGTATTTTATCTACCCGCATCTATATCTTATTTTGCATTTTTTTATATTATAAGTAACTGTCACAGATTTTTGAGAAAAAGATTTTACACCTTACACGTGGGTCCCTTTTTATTTAAACTTTTTCTACGTATGCTGAATTCCAATTTTTCCCATTTCTACATTTTTAAAACTTTTTTTCAAATACTTTTTTTTTACAAATTCATCTCTCGCTCAGATACTTTTATTCTTAACGCGAAATTTTCTAGTAGTTTCGTAAAAAAGGATTTTTAGTTTGTCTAGTATAAGACACTCTTATGCATGAAAAGGCATCTTTTATCGAGCAATTTTTATACTTTTCATTTTAAAATAATAACAATAGCTTCAATAATTTTTTTTGAAACTTGATAATTTTTCAACTATTTTTTGTTTACGCATGTTATTTGCTGAATTTGACGTCTTTTTTCAATGAAAAGTTAGCCGTTATTTTTGCTCTTACGATTCTCCCCATTGCTTTATGAATTTGGTGCATAAGATAACCGAAACTGCTCAGAAAAGATTCAAGTATGAAATGAAAAAGTAGAAGCGTGCGTCTTATGTTTCTTATCATATGATGTTTTTGTTACAAAGTAGGCAAAAAATACCATATGTATAAACTAGATTAGTGACATTTACCAAAAGAGGTACTATACACTTGATTCAAAAATGTTAATTAAACGAGTATTTAATAAATGGGTTTACAAGCAAGCAAGCAAGCGAGTACACAAGCAAACATTTGTTTTAACAAAGCCACTATGTAATTAGTCTTACCATACCCTTGCCTTTTCAACTTTATTATTAGATTCACAGCCAATTTCAAACGATTCAACTTCATGTTCGCCACCTTTTTTTTCAATTATAAATCTCGTAGTTGAATTTATTATAAATATATATACTTTTTGACTAGTGAATTGAGAATTGAAATTTTATAAATGAGAAAAATGTAGATATATACATGAGAGACAAAAATAATGGCAGTAACTCTCCCAGCGATTTTACAATAATCTTCTTCGCACATTACATCATTTTTCACGATTTGAAGTAGGCAGATATAGAGATCATCTTGACCACGAAGTTTGGTAGTTGTTTTTATACTTACAATAAGGTTTATTTATCACACGTTTTGACATTGTTACAATTAATGCAAAAAATCTTGAGTGTCAGTAGTAAGTCACACTTGCAATTTGTCTAAAACCACTTCAATATTATAAAGTAATAATGTAGAAAAAACATGAAACTATAGATACATCTCGTGTCCTTTGAGTAATATAAAAAACAAGCGCGATTTACATAATGTATGCAATTAAGATTAACTAAATATCTAGACGTATTAACTATATCAATTCCAACAATTTCTATGATTAGCCAAAAAATTTCTACTGATGATACTTTTTTTTTAGTGATTCTTACCTGTTTTCGTAAAACACTGGTTTTACGAATAAAATTTTTTATTTTTATAATAAATAAAAGCTGCTGTTGTTGAACTCTGCAATGCTACTTTCTGCTCATAAATAAAAATGATTCAAAAATAAAGTAAAAATTAATTTAAAAAAAGTGTAGAGAAATGATAAGTTATATAGAAAAAAGTTATATAATATGTAAATAATGTACAAACACACAGACCAACACGATAATAAATATTACTTTGGCATGTACATTTGGACAGATTATCAAATCAGGAATAAATGTTTAAAAATTTTTTGATTGGAAAATTTGAGGAAGGAAGCATATATTATTCAATAATAATGATAATGAAAAAAATATGAGAGGTAATAATAAGTGACAGATACGAGGAAAATACACAAACATGTTAGCTACAAGTTTTTAAACTACTTTATTGGCAATTTCTCTAGGCATGTCGTCTAAACTAAATTACGTTTTCTTTTTATATATTATCATTTAAATCGTATCGGTGTTAGTGAGTGATTGCTTTGACTTGAGACTTTGACTTGCTTTGTAAGTGAGTGAGTTTTTTTTCAGAAATACATATCCATCCATACTTACAATAATTGATAATAATTAAGGAGGCTACATACATGCGCGCAAAAGTTCGACATTCGACAAAAGTGATTTTCTACAAAAAAAGTTATTATGTATTATTATGTTTTTAATAATATGACTTTTCTTCTAGATATCAGCCACATCCGTACACAAATTGTCATTTGCCTCAAAAACTGCCACAAGTTTGCTTAATAGTTACAAATATCTATCCATCATTTTTTCCACTAATGTTTGTTTTTTTTTACTACTAGTTGTTTGTTACTACTATTGATTATTGCTTTCGGAAGCTATAGATATTACGGAAGAATCGAAAATATACAGAAAAATGCATGCACTTTGTTATATATAATGTAAATATATATAATGTATACATAAGTATATGTAAATTAACATATACGTATTTATAATAATAATAATAATGAATGACGACTCTCGCACTACACAAAAAAACCATGCTCGAGTCGTCATTATCATCAGGCTTGCATGAAAATTTAAGTTCTTTTTTCGGTCGAAAGAAAGGAAACAAACATCCCATTAATTTTATAATCATTATTAATATAAATTTTAAGCAGTACTCGCGTAGGTACGCAGCAGCAACCCCGCATGATAGATGTTTTTTCTTACTTTTTTTCTTGCTTTTTTTTCTTTTTTAACAATTGTCTCGGTCGCGCGCATACACCAACATCATTGAATGCTGACATTGACTCCTTAGTTAAATGCGACACCGTACACGTGTGTGCATACAATTTTCGACGATTATTACTTTTATTTTTTCACTTTATTACTTTTATTTATTACTCATCTTGTAACTAATATATTCTCTTACTCGCATCCCCGTCCCTCCCAAGAAAGTTTGTTTTCTTTATTGTTTCTTTTTTTGCAGTTTGCATGTTTGTCATTGATAATAATTAATCAATACAACTACCGCTTTTCTACTATTTACGCTAATAATTATTATGATAATGTGATGATGTAAGTAAAATATTAATACTTATATATGAGAGTGATCATGACGATGTTATTACATGATGAGGTTTGATGAATTATGAAAAAATTCAACCAAGATAAAATGAATAGCTAAATGAATAAATGCGGCATGAGAATAAAGATATGATGCCCGGCTATCGACAATTATAGTAATAAAAAGTTAAGTTGTTCTATACATTATGACACTACTACTACGGCGATTAATGGCAAAAGTATCTGTTTATAATAAGTAAATAAATTAGCTATAACAAAATGTATACAAATGGCATTTGTATCAATAGTATCGTACAATAAAGTAAAGATTAAAACGCCCGTCAAAGTGCTCCATTGTCGTAAATTTGTAAATTTTCCAGCTAAAATGTTAAAACAACTTTCGATTTCTAAAATTGCTCGTTTGAGAAAAACCGCGCAAAATGACTTTACGATTGGCCGCTTCACAATAATTTTTGCTATGATTAGAAATAGGCGCTCGTGAAAAGATCTCGAAAAAATTGAAAAAGTGACTATGAGATATAAGTAATGATTGATGTTATGATGATCAGAATGACGATTTAATTTTTATTTTTTATAAACCGACGCATGCTTCATATCTCGCAACTAAGATCCGAAGATCCTACTAATACTATAATGGTTAGATTTTCCAAACTACACAATGCTATGAAACATAGACAAACAAAGAAAATTATACATTATATATAAATATTAATTATTGAAAAAACAATCATTATATTAGTGAGTAATTTTCAAAATGTGTAAAAAAAATAGCTCTCAAAAGTTACTTATACAATTCTCACTTGATCAAAAAAGGGTTGTTCTCAAAAAATTACTAGTGTTACAAAAAAACTCTTGTGAATAAAAGATTCAACAAACAATAGAGTGTTTTACAATGTTGTTAATACTTAAAAAATGTATCCCAATTATAGCATCAAACGGCTAAAGAGGAAAAGTGGTTTAGGACTTTCTGAAGTGTGACACGATTACGTATACACGAATATCAGTGCGTAAGTCAATGATACGTACGCGCAGACATCCTTGCATGAGACAATCATCGGCTTATATGTTAATTTATATGCAAAAAAAGCCTCGTTCGAAAAATTTTTGCACAGACTACTTTGGAGAATCTCGTTTTTTTAATTTTAACATCACTATGTAACGACTAATCTTACGTATCTACTCTGAGTATGAGTTTCACTAACGCGTTTAATATCGATTAATTATTACATTATTTTGTTGAATATCTATCATCGTAACGATACTTCCTAAACGAGACTGCAGATTTATACAACCTTAGTTGTTGCGACCGTCACATTAAGGTCAACAACAAGTGTAGCCCGTGGGATATGATTCCGAATAATGTTTCAAAACGGGATATTTATGCTTTAAGTAACTTCGCGTATGTGTACACGTACATAGAAAAAAGTTGCTTTTTTTTTATTGTAAAATCACGAATCTCATTTTAATCGAAAATAGTACTTTTGCCATGAAAATTCGTTTTCGTACCTCTCTCTCTTTCTGACGTCGTGCGCGCGCACATGGTGGGCAGCGGGGAGAAGCGGAAGAGCATAACATGAAGGGGGGAAAAGAGTTAACAAAAATATTTTGTTAAAAAGAAAGATTACAAGAGACGCGCCAAAACAATGCGACGATCCGTGAGTATGTATGCCGAGTGTTAACTTTAATATCGCGAAAAACTGTATCACTAATAATACTTACATAGCGATCGTTAAATTATTATCATCGAATCGGTTTCGCATGACCGAATGTGTACTTAATTAGAGAATAAGTAGCCGTAAATTATATTATTTATAACTAATATCGTAATAATAAAGAGTATTTTTGCTTTTTTTTTTTACTAAAGAAAACTTCGCGGAGAATCCTTTCATGTACTTAGATAGTAAAAAGTGCCTTACATAACAATACGAATTATACGTAATTCAATAATCATAATTCAATTATAATTATAATAATAGGAACCCTAACGCGTTGCCTTTTCCAACTTTCGTTTTTCGTGTAATCATTAACTCCAGCGGTGAGTGTGCCTGTGTCAACGACCCGGGACGAGAAGAACGAACGAAATACTGAAAAAAAAAGGATTGTGTTCGCTCTTCTCGCGGGGTAGATCAAGATTCCCTTCGCTAATGCTACACAATAATCGAAAACCCAGTCTTTTTTACGGTGGTTTCTTTTAATTTTTCTTTGTTATCGTTTTATCCTGCCTATACTCGATGCGCGGTGATAAGTAAATTGACGATGACAAAGAAACTCGCGAGCAAAAGATATTAAAATGAATTGAAAATGAACGTCTTCAACCAGTGGATAACCACTTTGGCCGTCAAGTATGTTTTACTTGCGAGTTTCTTTCTCAACGATGGCGTTTTTTTTTTTTTGCAAGCTTCGTCCGGCAGCGTCGGATAATCTAAGTACACGGTTGATGATTGAGAACAGTCTTGAGCAGAAAAGTGAGTTTCATCTCTCTTTTGAAACGACAAGAGAAACAGTATTTTTTGGTATTTTGTTTTTTTTTTTTTTTCAATATTTGCTATACATATTTTTAGTGAATTTTTTTTAAATCTTCGTGATTTTTTTTTTTGTAAAAAAAAAAAGATGCCTCTGAATTCGTGGGCTTAAAAAATAGCTTCATTTCGTCGACAAGGATTCACGACATGTTTTTTGTCGACGAATTAAAATATGTACATATCGCCGTTATCTCTCGTCGTTTTTAACATGGATACAATATAGTTACGCCGCCAGCGAGAAATCATGATAACGCGTGCGTGTGATTAAGACTAAAAATCTTTCATAGATTGATAATGATAAAAGGTTATTATTTAGAGCGGATATACGCGCGCTTACGTTGGATTCCTAAGAGTCGCACGGAGGCCAACTCTTTTTCCTCGAGCTACAAACTATAACGCAGTTTGGGGAAATATTTTTTTTGTTTTTTCATCGGGTAAAAATAAACGTCAGTATAGTGAATAGAAGAAGGCTCATTCGACGAAGATGCGATTGTAGTGGATTCATCACCTTTTGGTCCTTCCCTCTAGACAATACACTTTATAATACGGATCGACCGATCGATCGGATCGACCTGCGCGAGTGAGTAGATATGCCTGAAGGTCTCTTCGGTCGCTGATAGCTGCTGCTGCTGCTGCTGCTGCTGCTGCCCGCCTTAGACGTACATTCCCATGCCGTACATCGAGCTCCAGTCGACGCCCTGGAAGCTCGACATGTCGACGTTGGTGAGCGAGTAGCCCTGGTAGGGATTGGGCGGGGCCACGCCTGCGGCGGCGGGCGAGCTCGCCTGGGGCTGGCCCGGCTGCGGGGCCGCCGCGGGATTCTGCGGCATCTGCGCGCCCGGGGTGGCCGCCGCGGCCGCGGCCAACGCCGCCGCCGCAGCCGACGCCGACGCGGGTATCGGATAGGGCGCGTAACGGTAGGCCGAGAGGGCCGACGCGGCGCCCGGATAGCCGCCGGCGGCGAACAGCTTGCCGTAGCCCGCGACCGCGTTCTGTACCTGGGCCGCCGCGGCGGCGGCTGCTGCGGCCTGCACCTGCGCCTGGGCCTGGGCCTGCGCGACGAGCTGCGACGCCACGCCCGCGCCCATCGACGGCATCGTGGTCTGCGGCGCCAGCCTCACGGCCCCGAGCGCGCCCAGCGCCACGACCCGCTTGCCCAGCGCCAGGGCGCCCGGCTGCACGGCCTCCTTCGGCTGGGCCTTCTTGCACTCGACCTTCTTGTTCTTGATGGTGTGAAAGTGTATCTCGCAGACGCGATCCACCACGTCCTCGTTCTCGAACGTGACGAAGCCGAAGCCCCGATGGCGCTTGGTCTGCTGGTCCATCAGCATGACCGTCTCCTCGACCTTACCGAACTGATTGAAGTAGGCCTTGACCTCCTCGCTGCTCGTGTCCTGACTGACGCCGCCGACGAAGATCTTTTTCGTGCGGTTGGCCTGCTTCGCGCGGTTCTTGGGTGTCGCGTGCTTCGGGTCGATCTTTTTGCCGTCCAGCGTGTGGATTGGACACTTGAGAACTTTGTCGACGCTGCCGGGCTCGGCGAATGTGATGAAGCCGAAGCCTCTGCTCCTCTGTAATATAGAAAACAGAAAATTACCTTCATTAACGACTACTCGAGGCCTGTGGGTAATGATTAAATTGCCGAGTGGAGCTTTCCAAGTAGTTATATACGACGCCGCCCCATGTGTGTGTGTGTGTCTGTGTCTGTCTAATATACGTATAGTGTCGATGATCGTCATTAAGCTCGAGGCGACTAAAGGGAAAAATCGAGGGGTCAGCAACACCAGCACCATCAGCAGCCGTAGAGAGATAATTAAGTCTCTTTCTCTAGCGTTTCGTCCTCGGTCCGCGCACAAAAGTAACGATTTTCCCCGAGTCTCATTCGTAGTAGTAGTAGTAGAAAAGTAAAAAAAAAAAAAAAGAGAAAGAAAGAAAGAAAGAAGCATCTCTCTCACCTGTGTAACCGGATCTTTCATGATTAGCACGTCGGTGACCGTGCCGAACATGCCGAAGTACTCGCGCAGCTTCTCGCTGCTCGTCTGCCACGAGAGACCGCCGACGAAGAGCTTGCCGGGCGCCGGGTCGCCGCTGTTGGGCGTGCTGCGGCCCGAGCTCGACGAGTGGCTGCCGTTCACCGGCACCAGATTGTTGTGGAACTCGTGCTCGATGGTCGTGCCGTTGGCGGCTGCCGCCGCCGCCGCCGCCGCGGCCGCTGCCGCTGCTGCTGCGGCCTCCATGCCCGCACTGTCGGCAGAGAGAAAACAGAAAATGCAAAATGAAATATAAACGTTGACAATCGATACACGATATAAAAATTATATTTTTCATCAAAAAAAAAAACGATGTTATGAAATACGCTCTTTGTCACTGTGCTGCAAGGTTTGTAAATCTAATTTTGATCTTTTCATATTCTCGTCCACAGACGATACCGCTGCTGTTCGCGACCGCGCTCGGCTTCTGCTTCGTCCCGGTGGCCGTCTATCGCAACATGTTCGTGACCACCATCGACGTTCGGTAAGTAAACGAAAACAAAAAATATGTACCAAATTTTCATGGAGATTTTATTTCCTAGTTGGGGCATGGTATACATTCATTCAAGCGAGCGAGACCTGCTTTTTAAGGTCGAGCTCTCTATCTCTCGTCCGTGTGTACGTATATATAGTTCGGTTTGATAGATAATTATTCGCGCAGCCCCCTTTCTCAACGGGGCACACACAGAGAAGAGAGAGAGAGAGAGAGTGAGGGAGAGAGAGACACAAGCCCTTAGTAGTAGTACCCGAAAGTTTTGCTGCCTCGCTGAATAAATATGAGCCTAACTACGCTCACGTGCCCAGGCGGCGGTGCTGGCCGCCCCCGCGCAGTAGTATAACGGTATACAGCGGTATTATGTATAACGCGCGTGTGTGTGTGTGTGTGTGTGTGTATATAATATGCGAGCGGGACGTCGACTTATCTTAAAAAAATTCCATTATGCCACTCTAGCCGTTTTCTCTCTCTCTCTCTCTCGCTCTCTTATTCTCGTTTACTGCGAGCGGCACGTGTAGTATGTGTCGCGAATGTCAAGCATGCGAGGCTTAAAAAGTTCGCCTAAACTAAAATCGATATAATGCATATTGTATACGCTCCTCTGCGCGGGGCATAAAGAAGTTTAGTATATGGTATAAAGCCGCGCGCGCGCGAGCGAGCTTTATGATAATGAAACGAAGCTGTGTGTCTTTCGGTCTTTAATCTTTTTTTTTTCTATCTCTCTCCCGACAGATTCAACAACAAGGACCTGCCACGCTGGGAGATACCGTCGGAGCCGAAATTCATCGATCTTCGCGACCCTCCGACCCTCAAGGTAAGAGGACAACAACCGACCGACCACACACACACAAAATGTCATAATCATTCGCCTCTCGCCAAATTTATCCGTCTGGTATCGCTTTATACCGTGTCGTTATTTACTACACTATCTACCGCCGTACATCGAGAGACCGCAGAGACGCTCCGACGACAATAATCGCAATAAACGACACACGAATGGCCATTAGTCGGACACCGACACGGGGATAATCCTTGGCATTCTCTCCGCTCGCGCTGTATTATTATTATTACATAGACGCGCGCGCCTCTCAGCTCCTCTCCGACGCGCGAGGATATCGTCGTTGAGAGAAAGCTCCTTATGTATATTCGCTCGCTAGGCTAATAGAAAAGAAAGAATAACCAAAGAGAGAGAGAGAGAGAGAGGGTGACAGGGAATATATCCATAGAGTAGTACATCGAAGCACACGGGCCGCGCGTAGCAGCAGCAGCGGAGTCGAGGCGAGGAAGCTTCATCGGGCTCGTCGCTCCAAGACAGGAAGTGGAGTAGTAGCAGAAAAGCGCACAGAGTACATTACTTGTACACACACGTACATACAGATATACATTGGTATTGGTGTATGTACAGTACGTGGTATGTGTGCGTGTGCGAGCGAGCGTTGCTTCAAAAAAGAGAGAGAGCGAGCGAGAGCAACACATTGGATCAATATACCTTGGCGCTGTCTCGCTCTATCGCACGACGACGGCGGCTTGGGGGTTGCTTTGCCTGTCCTTCTCTCTCTCTCTCTCTATGCTGCTGCTGCCACTACCACTACCACCACTAGCAGCAGCAGCCACTGGCTGAAACGAGCCGCAGAGCGCAGCAGCGGTACAACCCCTAACACGACTGCGCGGGTGACTCTCTCTCTATCTCCCTTTCTCTCTCTGTCTCTGTCTCTCTCTGTGCGCCGGGCTGCTGCTGCTGCTGCCGCTGCTGCTGCTGTGTTGCCTGTATACCCACTACCCCCGGGTAAAAACGAGAGGTACAAGTGAGGCGCAGCAGTGCTGTCGGGAAGCTCGAGCTGGAAGCTTGTGTCTTCTCCGTATATACTACCCCACGGCTCGTCGTCGTCGTCGTCTTTACCTTCCGCAAATCCGGATCTCTCTGTCGTGTCTTTCTCTCTCTCGCGCGCGCCTCTCTGTCTGTTGTATGCTGCTGCTGCTGCTCTTGTGCCCCGCGCCCGCGCGCGCGACTCACTCTCAGGGCTTTCGGGGTGTGTTGCTGCTGCTGCTACTGCTCGCTCGATATAATAGAGGCTGGCTGCAGCACTGCCGGCTTTTGCTGCTGCCCGAGCACGGCACAGCACAGCCTCTTTCTTTCGTTGTTTCTCGTCTCGTGATATTATTCGCAAACAAAAAAAATCCGTAGTACATCGCAAGTGTACCTCTCTACCTCGCACACGTCCGGAAAAGCTCGCTGTGCTGCTGCTGCTGCTGCTCAGAACGAGCAACGAGCAACTTTTTGCTCTTGCTGCTGTATTGTGTGCTTTTGTATCTCTCTCTCTCGACACCGGAGTATAAAGGAGAGGATCATCGTCTCATCGTCATCTGCAAGCACTCGACACGACTACAGGGATATTGTCCTGTCACAGCAGTACGATATTTCCGTGTTACTGGTGTGTCGGGACATTGTCCTTGTCTCGTGTATTATTCAACGCGGGACTACTAAGGCTGCTGCTGATCTTCGTGAGTCGTCGTCACCTGCACCGATCGTCGTCGTCGTCGTCGTCGTCGAGGATAACGTCCAACAAAAAAAAGTGTGTTGATAAATCTTGTGTGTCCAAAAAAAGTAGCCAGCCAAATTTGTATAGTTTTTTCTACATTTATTTTTTTGTTGCTTTTACGATCGCACGTTAATACAACACGAGTGTAGAGCGAGAGAAATAGCGTGAAAGATGTATATACGTAAGGGGAGAAGCGGGTGAGTGCATCGACATTACCACACACGTACACACACTTACACGCATACCCGCAGACACCCACACACACGCAGACGAATATTCGCACAAATCCCAATGGGAAAAGCGAACGAGAGAGAGCGAGAGAGACAGAGAAAGGCAAGCCCTGACGCGAATGGGAGAGAGAGAGAGAGAGCGAGATAGAGAATGGGGGCTTTCTGTCTCTGTCTCTCTTTAGCTCGTGGCACACACCAGCACACGGTCGATTTTCGTGGAATATGATCGTTCCACCAGCACACACACACATAGAGCACACAGCAGAGCACCCAGCACACACACACACACAACCAGACGGAGAGGCGCGCGCTCTGCTGCTGTATACATATATATATACGGCTCTTTCTCGCTCGCGACCAAGGGGGTGGTTGAAAGAGCAAGAGAGAGAGAGAGAAAGAGAGGAAGCGCTTTACTCTCTCACATATACATACACGTTTGCACACAACCGTAGTAGCAGTAGTGGTAGTAGTATATACATATATAGTAGAAGAGAAAGATGGAGGTAACTGTGCAATATCGCGGTGGTTGAGTATACATTAAATTATAGCCCATGCGAAGCCAATGAAAAGTAAAATGTGTGCGCGCGCGCGTCAACTCTCGGCGCAGAGAATTTTCCGCTTGTGCAGGTATTTAACCTGTGTCTCTGTGTGCGTGGCATTCATTCTTCTTCTTCGAATTTATTTTTATTTTTATCTTCTTCTTCTTCTTTTTGTTGTTGTCGTTGTCGCGCGCGTGCTCAACTTCGCCCCCGAGCTTTTAACAAGCTTGCGCGCGCCTATCGTTACGCGAATAATCCCATTACAGTTGGCATATTTCAGCGAGAGGGAAGGAGATTCAGCGGAGCGCGTTGAAAATTTCGCGTCCGTGTGTGTGTGTGTGTGTGTATGTATGTACATATACTGTGTATAATGGCAAGAGCGAGAGGGGAGGGGGGTCGATAAAGGCGCGGCAGTAGCAGCTTTGAAGCTTTTTCTCTCTTTCTGGCGGTCACCCCCTATACGCGTGCACGCGCACACGCACACATAGGCATACACACACAGACACATTCCTACATGTTATATAGACATGTGAGAGAGAGAGAGAGAGAGAGAGAGAGTGCGGCTGATCGTGTAATGAAGCAAAAGCTTTCCTTCCCCGAACGCGTACACGACGACGAGCGCAGGCAAAAAGGGGGATGTACACATCGCCGAAGGATAATACGCCTTATTCTTCCTGTGCGCGCGTATAATGTCTCTAGTAGAAGAGAGAGAGAGAGAAAGAGAGATGAAGCGAGCAGAGGGAGGACGAGTGAGTTTTAGATATAGAGAGAGAGAATGAGAACGGATCCATGAGAACTAGTCGCATGCATGCACACAATCGACTCTTGGCCCACTTTGAACTTTGACGCAAAAAGCTCTCGAGATGCTTCCTCTGCCAGGACTGTACTACGCGCATTACCTGCGTTATTAGGTATGCGCGTGCCATTTGTTTTATTGTATATATTTCGTGCATCGTCGCGAATAAATTTGATTTCCAAATCATTGTGGCCCGCTGCCCGAGCGAGGCTAACGCGATAATTCTCTTTCTTTCTCTTCTCTTCCTTCTTTGTGAATTTTTTGCTGCACGTTATATCGTACGCACGGGGTCTCGCGGGCGCGGGCGTAAGAAAGAGGCAGGCTGAGAGAGAGAGAGAGAGAGAGCAAAAAAAAGAAAAATGTGGGCGTAGGCTTGATTATATGCAAGAGTAGTAGTGGTAGCAGTAGTAGTAGTAGTCGTAGTAGCGCTCCTGCGAAGCGAAAAGCGGCCAACCAATGCGAAATCCATTTGGTTGTGTGGGTATTATCATTATCATTATTATTATATGTTGAAGCTCGCGGCCCTGAATCAGAACCGAGAGACGATAGAGAACAAAAAAGAAACATAGCCTGCGGAGCTTTTGGCCTTTTTTTTTCTTTTTACGCGAAGAGAAACAAGCAGCAGCGGCAGCAGCCAGGCTAAAAATCAGTAATGAGTAATTTTCAACGGGCCCGGGGGTTTTTATTTTCTTTCGTGCAATCGAGTTTTCGATAATTAAAGAGCCCGACACGTACTTTTGGGCGCTCGCAAACGAAATCATCTCTACGCTGGCTCGCTCGCTCGTTGTCTCGTTCTCTCGGTTGCGAAACCGGAGGGGTTGTGCTGCAATAATGAAAGCGGCGATCCATGATCAAACAAGGGCCGTCGCCGCCGCAGTCGCATGCAAACGATATAAACGCGCGCGCATAGACACACACACATACATTTATAACACACACAGAGAGAAAGCTCACGTATATATAATTCATAAATGCATCCGTCATCGATATAACTGCTACATATAAAAGCTCTTATGCTTGTCGCTTCTCTTTTTTCTCTCTCTCTCTCGCCGCGAGAAGATCGATATTACTCGTCCGAATTTGTCTGGGATGCCGCAGAGAGCCGAGAGAGAGAGAGTTTATGTTACTACTATATAACTTGGCGCGCGTCAGGCAGCAGCAGCAGCAGCAGCAGCAGCAGTACTAGTTGCCTGATATAATCGATAAACGTCTGGTTTCTATCGCGAGGCGAGCAAAAGCGAGTCAGGCGCGGCAACATTGCTGGGCTGCTTGTCACCATCGGAATTGGGGTCTCTCGCGTTTCTTCGATCCAATTAAAGCTTTATACATCGTCGTGCAGCGCACATACACAGACACACAACGATGGATTTCACGCGTACCACATAATCCGCGCGAATCTCGTCGCATCTAGCCTGGCCAAATAATTAAAGATTCATCGGTGCGTGGGTGTGCGCTGTGCACGGCAGTAGTAGTAGCGGGCAGCCAAAGAAATGTGAAATCAGCACGAGGATTGTCAGATGAGCGAGAATCAACCTTTATTTCTTTTTCTCTTTTTCCTTTTTTCTTCTTCTCATTTTCTCTCTCTCGGGCGGGCGTCTACGTCGATTGCCAAGTAGGACAACGCGATCATAAAGGCGGCCGTGTGCTAGAGCGTGGGATGGTCTACTCTATAGACGGCTCTATATATTATTCTCGACCAGAGAGAGATAGAAAGGGACACGAAAAATCGAGGAGACTCCGTCGTGCCAAATTACGTTTTCGCGTGATACATCTCGTGACCGCCGTGGCGAAAAGCCGTATGTGCAGCAGTAGTAGTAGTAGCCAGTATTAGTAGTAAAGTAGCAGCAGCAGCAGATCGGGGGCTTTTAACGTTCGAAAAATCGTCGATTTATCAATTCGGGCTCCCGACGGCCCCGTTCAAGGGAAGGCATTCGTTATGGGGCGGCGGGGGAGGATATCGCGCGAACGCAATTTCGCAGGCAGCGAAACATTGCAAGGGAGTTCTCTGCACGTAGCTATGTACGTACGTACGAGAGAGAGAGAGAGAGAAAGATGTTGTTTGCAAGAGCGTCGGGGGGCGCGCCGCTGCCACCACCGCCGCTGCTGCTGCTGCTCTGCCTTCGGTATGTATGTACGCAGCTGTATATACAGTAGAAGTCTTCCGAGGGGTCGTAAGCACCGGCAACGCACCGACCGTCATTCAGGTCATAGCGGTCAGATGTCGACACTGTGGCATGGGCCGCCGCCGCCGACACTGCGCCGCCTGGCGCTTATAATACATAACGTATAACACAAGCGCAGCAGCAGCAGCAGCAGCGAGGCTTTCCCTTTTAGACGAACGAATGTTCATTTATGCATATATATATATATATCGCCGAGAATACTACCACTACCCTCTCTCGAATACTCCTGATGCTACTGCGGCTGCTGCTGCTGCTTGGCAGTGGCAATGACACTTAATTCACATCACGTCACTTCACGTATAGCAGCACACACACACACACACACACACACACACACAGCTAAAAAGACGCGGATACAGTTATTCCTTTTATTCTTCTCGTTTCGTTCGGGTTTTGCGCGCAGGACGCAGCAGCGAGCTTTTGTTATGTAAACTTGTATAAAATGTTTCCCAGTCGTCTCTCTCTCTCTCTCGCTGGGTGTGCAAGTGACGTGCTGCCTGCGCCTGCCTTTCGTGTGCCGCGCCGTACAATATATATAATATAAAAGAGTGACAAAACGAGGAGAATGCGTTGCAAAGAAAGATTTAAAAAAAAAAAGAGAAACAGTGGAAGTGAGCGAAAAACCCCCCGAAAGTTCTCTCTGCCACTGACGTTTGCTGCTGCTACGGCTGCTATCCCAATGACAGGAGAGAACAGGAAGAAAAGAAAGTTGGGTAATAATTAAAAGCTCCGAGAGATTTCAACTTTTTGGTCGTGTCGAGACTTTCGTGAATGTATGAGAGTTATTATTTAATTACTTAGCAAAGTCGATATATCACAGTTTCAACAACACCGTAGTTTAAACGTTATTAATTTTGTTGTTAGTGACTTACGTAAAGAAATACGATTATGTGATCTTTATTTATTGCCGTGTAATAGGTAATTTGTGTGGTGCTTTAAACGTTGTATTAGACAACATCGAGATAAGTTTTATCGATGGCCGTATTTAGCGGGATTTCACGACAACGCACTGCCATTTTTTAAATTCTAATTTTTTTTCATAGAGTTAGTTTATATACAATATCGATGTGTCGCATGCATGTCCACTCACGAGTCTTATTTTATTACTGTACTTTCACCACCGTAATTTTTCATGTCTGTACTATATAAACTGATTTTTTCAAATAAATCATTGAACTAACTGACTGTATAATTACTTTGATGTTGAAAACCTAAAATCCATATTTTATAAATAAATTTTCATTATTCTGTAGATATAGTTGATCGAGTTTTTTTTTTTCATGTACTACGTAAATAGCAAAATACTAAATACCAAAGTTTAAACAACATTTTAATTATCGCTATGCTACCATTAGAATAGCTGCATAAAAATAAACTAGAAGAAAAGTAACGATCAATGAGTTATCATCCATTGGTAATACAGAAACCTGCAGAGCCTTATCCACGATGAGCTTCGTTACGATCGGATGATAAGAGCGACCCCTACTTTAACGCGACGAAAAGACGCCGCAGCTATATATACAGCGCAATATCGATTTTAGTCGTAAACGAGGATAGAAATGGAAAATAAAACTTACTAACGGTCTAACGAATTTGCCTATCGAGTGTGAGAAAATTTTTACACGTTCATCGGAAAATAGTACGAGTAACGAAGGTACGAGTTGCCCCATCAACATCGAAAGATGTAATTTTAGATTAAATATCTCTCGGGGGCTCGCAATCGATAACTCCGCTACTACTTCGCTATTATTATCACGAAGCTACTGAAATCGATGTAATACAGAGTGTGCACGAGAGAGCCACCCCGACGACCCCGCGCGCGCGCGCGCCGCGTCTGCACAAATTCGCACAAAAGACGGCCCAGAGTCTCATTGTTTGATAACAGAATTCTCAGGTATGGAGAGGACGCGATAAGAATCATAATTGCCGTTAAAGTTCGACGAGTCCGCCGTATTAGGAAAACTCACGGGGATTTATGGCCCCAAGTACCAAAATGTGCGTAAGAGAGAAGCCAGACTCATTCGAGTTTCAAGGAAACTCGCTGAATGGAGAAAATATTAGAATTGCGGTTCGAGATTTAACTAAAGAGCGTTAAGCTGGCTTTAACGGAATTCGAGATTAACCTAAAAATCCTTAAAACGATTAAAACAAAACTTGTAATAGGATAAACTTGGAAACTTCTTTTCAGAATGTAAAACTTTTCATTGGTTTAAAAAGTTGTTTTATTAAAGAATCTTTCGAGCTCGCGTTTACGCTTAAGGGTATGGTGAAGTCGGCCCAAAATCAAATTTTCTATACCATTTTCAGAAACTTTTCCTGAACATTTTTCTAAAAAGCTCTCTTTATTTTGATATAATTTAGGGCCTTTCGAGAAATGTTCAGTAGAAGTTTCAGAAGAGAGATTGATTCGATTTTTAGACTGACTTCGCCATCTCCTTAACTACAAGTATTGTATGGATTAAAATATCGCTAATTTTCTCAATTTATCTTTAAAATGCAGTTTTTATTATGATTGAAATTTTTCAAGTTAACTTCTCTAGCAATCAAATCAATTAAAGTAATGTTTTACAAACATTTTTGTAACTAATTGCTACTGAAAAATTAGGATGATTTCTATTGTTCGACTGATTCTAATTTACGAAGTATTGTTTATTTTTGATCAAATTTGAGAACTTTCTATTATTTTAAAAACTACCAAATTTACTATGTTTAATAAAACAATAGACAAAAATTCATATTTGTTAATATTTGATGAATTGAAAACGTTAAAAAGTTTCCAGCTCTACGGAAAAAACGTTTTAGTAATTTTATTACTTTAAAAAATAAAAAATAAATTTAAAAATCACCTGTTATCAGTCGGCTACTTTGAACTTTTCAAAGGAAGAAGTCTCTAATAACCTAGGGGTTATTTTCAAGTAACAAAGGAGAAAAATCATATCCGTTTAGTAAGAATTAACTCAAACTGTAAGCACGAGTTAGAGATTGAGACTATGACTAAACTCAATTAATAAAACAGCCCTTCGGGCCATGTTGAGAAATTTTTAAACTTTCACCTACGTTATCTAAATCTATCCTCTAAAGTATACTGACCATTACAGGTATTATAGTATGTTTCGCGTAAGAGCGATATTTATTATGCAACAAACTGCCTTGTATTATAAATATGTTTATGGAAACTAGAGCTTGACTAAACTTGAATACTGGCGACATGTAATACACGAAACACAACACTTGATATACTTTAAAGAATAAAAAAAAAAAAAAAAGAATTCGAGAAACAAATGAACACATTGTTTTATATAATACTGGTTGCTTTTTTTTTTAAGCAAATGTTTGTAGACAGAGAGATAGACATTACCTGCAATGCGAGTACACGATTGGCTCCGCCGACTGAGAGTTTTCTTGTCGGGGGGATGTGTCTACCTTTAATGACGGACGTCATAGAGATTGGCTTGGTTATAAAACGATGGCTTGTGTGCGATAGTGAGCGAGCGAGAGAGAAAGAGAGACACACACATGTTTGCACGCACGCACGAGAGCTCGAACGAGCCCAAGAGAGAGAGAGAGAGAGTGAGAGAGAGAAAGGAGGATAAACTGAGAGTTTTCAGGCTCTCTCTGTCTCTGGCCTCTCTAGTCTCGATAATAACACAAATACATGCTGATGCTGTCGCTGCTCTCTCTCTCCCTGTGCTCGGCGTTATCTATGAAGTGACGTTTTTGCGAATAAAATTTTGTGTGTCGCCGGATTGTGTTTTCTCTTCTCTCTTTACTCCCCGGGACCGCAGTTCTGTTCCCTCTCTAACAAAAAGGACGTTACTCGACAATAGACCTTCCGGCATTTTTCGCTCCTCATCCTTGTCGTCCTACGGAATCATTTGGAAGTAACAGAAGACAAAAACAAAAGATTTTTAACCAAAATATGAGAGAACTTGTTTTGTTTTTTTTTTTTACATTTTATACAGAGACAAACTCCTACTAGGTCGCGAGGCTACATGTTGTTTAGTTTTTAATATCTCAATATGATTTGTTATTTGATGACGACTTCGACTAAACTTAAAGTATAATAATGAACAATAAATTCATCATCGTGCACAAATGGTTAAAGAAATGCAAAAAAAGGGTTAGTGCCAATTGGTATACGTTCTGTCAAAAATGAATACCACTTACAAATCGAACTTATTTACGATAAAAAAAGTACCGTTTCAATACAGTAAAAGTATAATATTATAAGCAACACATCGAAATCGCTTTTACACGCTTTTACAGATATACACATCTAGATCCATACATAATAAAATCTGTATGTATGTTATACCTCTGGTTAAACACTATGTATAGGCAGATAGTTATTAAAAAACGAGGACCCAATTACGTTATGTAAGATAAAAAAAGGGAGTGAAAACAGGGCAACAATAAAGAGCTACAACATTTCACGATCTCCGTATGATTTCGTTGAAAAAAAAAAGAACAAACAGATGAAAGATATCCTACTCTCTATATTATGTTTATGAAAATTAAAATAAAGCCGATAATATAATAGTTGAGTGTGTAACAAATAAAAAACGACAAAACAAAATAAAAATGAATAAGCCTAGGTTGTATGAATAGTCACAATCTACTACTGGGGCTTTGTTTTTCTGCACACCTAATTGTTAGTGATCTTTTTTGCGACAGGTAGCCAGTCGAGAGCGAGAGAGAGAAAGAGATATAAAGAGTGAGAGCGAGAAGGAGAAAGACTCTCGTATCTTTTCTCATCGCCTTTTCTATCTTTTTTTTTTTAAGCGATTGCGAAAAACAGCAAAAAAGACGAGGCAGAGAGAGAGAGAGAGGAGAGCCATGGCGCGGCGCAGACACTTCCGTTTTTTGTTCGTAAAATATATAGTATAGGTAGGTACGCGCGTGTATGTATTCCTTTCTTCGCTGCGCTGCGCTCGGTGTTCGCGTCTCGCGCGGGAGAGTCGCGCGCCCGGTGCATCTCGCCTTCATTTTCTCCAAGTTTCCCTCCTTCGGCGCGCCNCCCCCCCCCCCGCGTATAAAACGCGATACGCGACGACGACGACGACGACAGACGAGTGCAGTCTACTTTTTTTTTGTTCGTTCGTTCGTTCGTTGTTGTTCACCTCTCACGGACGACGACGACGACGACGACGACGATGCGAAGCGGTTCTTTTACTCTCTTCGCGCGCTCGCCCGCTTCTCTCTCTCTCTCTTTCTGTAAATTGCTCGCTGCTGCGCTTTTTTCTCTCCTCGAGGTTGTTCGCGAAAAAATGCGCGGAATAACATTTGGCCGTAAGGATATAACCGCGCGATCGTAAAACACGCGCTGCGCTCTCTCGCTCTCGTGCAGCGATTACTCCGCGCTCTTATACGCCGCTCGAATGCGGAAATTTTTGGAAAAACCGTCGATTCAGCCCCAGCACGGTATTATAAACTCGATATTTGTTCGCACGTACATCGTTTCTTTGTTTTTTTTCTTCTTGTTTTAGACGCGATGTGCATATGGGTGAAAAAATCGATCGGATCGAGGAGAGCGAGAGATAAAGCGAGGAAAAGAGGGATATAATCCTAATGTTAGAATTTATTTTCCACACACAACATGAATTTCTATATGTTCGTTACGTGCTAAATTGAGTACGTGAATGAACGTATACACGAACGCATCGTGCCACATAGCGATGTAGTAGATCATAATATTATCAACGGTATAGCATTTTTTCGATTTTTAACGTAAGAGACGGCGACAAACTTACATAAAAGTATGCGATAAGGGACACAAGAAAGTTTACATCTGACAAGGCTATTAATATGCAGAGTTGTAAAGAGAAAGAGTGACAAAGAGAAGGGAAAAACAAAAAGCTCGTCGAATGACGTTTCCATTATTTATTCGCAAAACTGTCAAACTATAGGTAAATATATACCGTAAGAAGTTGTAAACACTATCAAAGAATCTTTTTGTTAGATTTGCAATGACTATACTAAAATTCAAATAGAAAAATCTAAATTTTTCTCAAGGGCAGCTGGTGTTAATAATGAAAATCTTAAATTGTGCTTAGTAATCGATGTTGAATACGTTTTAAACTACGCACACCCGATAACTAGATGTCAAAAATATGTATTATCACGCTTTTGTCAAGTCAAGGATATTTGGGTCTTGGTTCGCGTTATAAAAATGAAACGCGTATCCGTCTTCTCGTTCTATGTTTCGGTCCACATGTAAAATAGCATTTCATCACAAATCGCGCAGCTGAGTTAATCGCTGGGAAAAATGTAGCAGTCCCCCAAGCATTCAGCGGTGGTCGTTCGTCGCGGCGGTGGACTCTCGAAAATCTCTCTCCGTCTAACCTTTTTTTTTTTCATTCTTTAATTTCAATTTTCAAAAAGTTTCGCAAAGTGCTCCCTCCTGCTCGAGTTCCATTTCCAGCAAAAACTGTCACACGTAGCTCGAAGAAAATTTTGCGCAGAAAGTCATTCCGCGATTCAATTATGAATGGAAGTATAAAACGCGTCCGAGTTCGAATCCACGTACGTTTGAAAATTCCGTCTCGCTGCTCGTTTTCTCCTTTTCTTCGTCTCCCTTTTTTCCATTTGGGGCAGGGAAATTTTTTCGTTCGGCCGCAAACGAGCGTCGATTATCGATTACGCGCGAGTACGCGTATACGTCAATCAGTCGCGGTCACTCGGAGCAACCCATGCGAATATTTCTCTCTCTCTCTCTCTCTCTCTCTCTCTCTCGCGCGCGGAGAAAGAAACTGATATTTCCGGAAGAAGACGGGGGTATACCATGTAACACCGTCGGGGCTGAAATCGAAACTTGCAGGAACCGTCGAAGCGCTCTTATATATTTTTTGCTCTCTCGCACGCTACACGGACGCGCGCCGCACGCAGGAAGAGAGAGAGAGAGCAAGAAAACCTACTCGCATGCAGCGTAGCACCATCGCCCCTCCATCCCTCTGCATCCCTTGCTCACCCGCCCCCAGGACTATGTGTCACCCTGTGTTATATGGACTATCGAAAGGTCTTTGAAAAATGGTTTCTCGACCTCCGCAGCGCGTGTACAGCTGACGCAGCTAGAAAACCGTTCACTCCTCTCTCTCTCACTCGAGGCTAGATTGGATATCGTCTCTTTTTCTCTCTCTCTCTCTCTCTCTTACTTCGGGCGGCTAATAGCTGCACTTGCCAGAAATGGAGAGAGCGAGAGAGAGAGAGAATTAATTTTTTTTTCAGCAACAGTATATTCCGAGAGGCCAAGTGGAAATTGCTCCGGATTAATGAGTCGATTGCATCCCTCCCGGTTTCTGAGTAGCGGAGGTGTGCACATAGACAGAGCTAAATACGAGACGTACAAGATAGAGGGAGAGAAACGAGAAAGAGCCATTTTCCGTCTGATCATCGAGAGAAGCCAGAAGTGTCTTGGGTCAAAAGGCCGATTTAATGCCTCGGCCATTAGAACGAATTGGAGGAATCAAACTGTACTACCTGCCGCGTTAGCAACTGGTCGCAATTCGTACAACGATATATCGATATAAAAAAATTAATGCGCTATACGTTCGAGAGTTACTCGATTGCGAATTTCGCCGCGCACGTTCGTCAGAAAACTTCGTTTCAATTCTCGACGTGTGTTTTGCCTTTTATTTAGGTACATTATTTAGGCGCACAATGCAGGTTCAACACACACACGTTCGCGCGTTTATACGAGACGCGAGCGCGCAACAGCTTCTCATCTGGACGACTTTTGAAAGCTGTGAGATATTCTATTTTCATGCCAGGCAGGCAGAGAGTCACGGGCAGTCGGGGCGGGCGCAGCTTGCGATGTATAATGCAACAATTGTGTGCGCGCGCTCGCGACGCGCGAGTTGAAGTTTTATTAGTTCTCCCCTGCGGCAGACCCGAAGAGTCATCGCTGTTGTTGCCGCCGCCGCCGGCTCGAAGCCGCTTGTGCCACACACACACACACACAATTCGTGTATACGCTATAACGTATAATTTCTTCGGTGCGCGCACATCTCTCGTATATATATTCGGAAATTCGACGTTGCTCCAATTTTTTCCTTCTTTTCCTTTTTTGCCCACGTTCGAGATTCTTTAACCACATATATATTACGGAGAGAAGGCCTCTCACGCTCATTGTCTTCCGCGGAGCTTCGTGCCGGAATAATCGGCCCCATTAAAGAGCCCCGAGCCAAAGTATTCGACTTCGAGGCGCGTATTATATTCTCGCTCTACATGTGTATATCGATCGATCGGCATAGACGCAGGACGACGACGATGAGTAATCAAAAACTGATTGTTGCCAAAGGTCACGAGCGAGAGAGTATGAAATCAATGCGGATGGAAAATGAGTAAGGCACAGCAGCAACAACAACACGAGGCTCGGGCGTGTACACGCGGCAGCGTATCCGTTTACTATATACGTTGTGCGTTATATATATTACGAAAGGCGAATTCAGAACGCTCTCAGGCGCATAACACACGCGCTACGCGCGCGCGCGCGTTTAGAGGAGATTCAAATATAGCTGCTGCTGCACTGCGCGCGGCAGGTATCGATTCGTCAGAGAGAGAGAGAGAGAGAGAGAGAGAGAGAGAAATACATATTATAAGCAGTGGCAGGCAACTGCACTGCTATATACTGCCAGTGCCAATATTAGACCCATGGGAATATTTGCTCTCTGTTACTCTGCACGCGGTGGTTTTATACACTGGTATAAACGAGAGAGAGAAATTATTTACATAATACGTTTGACGAGAGCGGGCGACTGAGCACAAGCGGCATCGTATCGCATAAATTCAGCAGAAACGTACTGCAAACTAGATTTTGGGTGTAAAGTTTGCAACGCAGTCGGCAAAAGTCGCTGCGCGCCTCGAA